ATGGTAAGATAAAGAAATAGAAGCGGCAGCTTCATAGTGGCTTGATTTATCTACATCTATTGTTGAATGCGTCTGGGAACTTCTGCGGAGCCGTCTCTTAAAAAATCTCGGACTGCAAGTTATGGTCGTCATGAAAAATGGCAACTGCCTGCAGTTGGGCTAAAGTCCGCGCAAGCGGTGGAAAGAACTAGTCGGTCTTTTCTATCCTTAACAACAGAAAAGACAACGAGAAAGCTAGTGTTAAGTTACTGTACTAGGAGAGATGTTAATTTACTTATTAAAAATATGAAAATAAAATATTAACATATCAAAAATACGAAAATATATATTGAAAAAATATAAAAAATTGGGACGAACGGGAATGTTATCTCATGCTGAATACCAGTTCAGGCCTGTTGTGGAAAACTGTTCAAGCTGTGTTGTTGACACAGAGGGACCTTACCCTTAAATAGTAGCTCATCCAATGTAGGATACTTAGCGTGAGATGCCTTGGGAACAATGTGCGTTCTTTGTAGTTTGAAAATGCAGCTTGTTCACAGCAGGCGCTGCCAGATTTTTTCATAACCAGTGAATGTCGCGTATCAGTGGATGATACTCGTAGAACAAATGACGATTTAAAATGATCTCGACTGAGATAATTCGCTTGTGTGGGTTTCCTGACTTTGAAAAGCAGGAGTACTTGCCAATACCTAAGTTTGGCATGGCGTCTCATTAGCATTGAAGATTCTTACAAACTTCTCAAACGGTGCAGGAATTTCTTGGTGATAGTATTTTTGATGGACTGTTATTTTTTACTGGTTGTTTGACGACTGTGTTTCGATGTAGCGCTTTTGCAGGAACAGATTTTGATTGAGGATGAGTCAAAGCATGCTGCTCAGAAACGAACTGCTGCTCAGGTTGATGCATCGACGTCGCAAGAAATGCAGCTTGAGAGCAACTCCACACAGGTTCGTTTATGCAATAAGTCGAAAAATGAATTATTTCAGGGGAGATTTTTTGGCCGCACCTGTTGAAATCTGCATTTGAACAATGCCACTTACAGGCTACTGCAAGCACATCGGCTGTTGCTGTTGATACTGCCAGTAGCATTGTGGTAAGAAATTCCTTTGAGCGCATGTTCATAACACAAGCGCTTGTCGTTCATAGCAGCGTCGTTCTCTTTTAAGCTTCTACGTCCACTTTTTTTCATTTTTACAATTCTATTTCGTCGATTTGAATGCTTCCAGAATTTATTTGTTTGGCTTCGAAAGAAGTTTAGCGCTTTCTAGTTGATTTCACTGTTCACTGAACTAATTTATGAGCTCTCTGGCTATATCTTTCTTCGTTTCGTATATTTATTTATTTCGCATAAAAACTATAGCGCTGCTACAGCCAGCAGAAACGCATATTGTCGAGAGGCTGTCTATGTGTGTGTGTGTGTTCGAAAAACGAGTGCATTTTGTCACCCACTTTCATCGCAGCAACCAGGAAAAGCTGAGAGGCTGAAACCTTGGATATATGTTCCTACACCGTGTTTCATCCTTCCGTTTTAAGATCTTTCCCCATATGCGCCTAGACCCCGCGTACGGGACCCTCAAAGAAATATGTTGGCGGGAAACGACTTCGCGAACCAGGCAACGTAGGAAGCTGAAAGTTTGCAGGGATGTTCTCTTTGCACGTACGAGCCAAAGATTTTAAACTCAGCTGTCGAGCACCCCAACCACAGCCTCAAGCAGCTCATCAACCTAAAAATCGTTCGCAACTCGGACCTGAACCGCAGTCGTATATGTAAATGAAAATGGATTTTTTGACAGACGACAGCTCGAGCAATACTTTCACTTTTTAGTGAACTGGAAATTTGCATTTTTCCAAAAAATTTGCTTTTGTCATTTTTTCACAAGGCGAGCATTTACCGAAAAAACGATGGGACTTCATGCAAAAAAGCCGGTAATCATGCACCTGGATATCCGTGCGGTTCTAAAATGCACCACTTTCATCCCAGCTGACGCCCCTTCCTCCTGCATGCCGAAAGAGGTCGGAAGGGGCCAAAGCACGCCAAGTGTTAGGCTACAGCGTAGGGATCATTCCTGCTAATAGCGATCTGCGAGTTTAGTGCAAAA